GTTATATGTAAGTATTGAAGGAGCGATTAAAGTGATTTAAAATGGATGACAACCCAGATATTATATATAAATAAGAAGATGTGGTATGAGTGCCAATGAGACAACTATCCTTCCAAGTCACAATGTGTAAAAAGTAAACAATTATAGGTCAAAGTACGGCCTTCAACAAGGAGCCTTGGCTCACACCGAACAGCAAGCTATAAAGGGCCACAAAAAGACTAGTGTAAAACAATTCAAACAGGAAAACCAACGGTCTAATCTATATAAAAAAAACGAGAAACACTAATGAACCACACCAACAAACGACAACCACTGAACAACAGGCTCGGCTCCTGACTTAAGACAGGTGCATAAAAAATGCAGCGGGTTTAAACGTTTTAACAGGCGCCAACCTTCACCCTATCCTGAAACAGTGGTATAACATTACAACATAAAAAGACACACAATAAAGTATCAATTGAAATGGCTTAACTCGATCAAAAAGACAATACACAAAAACAATTAAAATACACTGAACGAATAAGTTTGATCTATGACACAATATTAATAAAAAAGATGTTTCATGTCAAAAAGACAACTTTAACCAGGACAAAATGGCGTTAAATAAAGTAACGTACACAGGTAAATTTAAATATAATAATTTTGTTGTTAGGAGTACAGAAATATTTTTTACAAAATAAATTTGTTATTCATAGTACTGAAGTGAACATTTTTTCGTCATACTAAATACTTATCAAAGGTGGTACATATTAAGGATGTATTCTTCTGAGGTTTCAGTCTCGTTGAAATCTCGTTCGGAAATTATTTCCATAACATGTGATACAAGTTGAAAATATCAAAGAATATAAAAAACATTATAATCAAACTTAACTCTGTGAAAAAAATTGTGTAATTACAATAAGTAGTTTTTGAGTAATAATATTTTCAAATTTCATAACCAATCTGGTAAGTGTCATCAGCCAAAATGTTGAGAAAATTGGTGAGGGTACAAAGAAATGATTTTACCAAAGATATGTACATCCCATATCATTTTTTTCTATTCGAAATTCTCAGATATTTTTCAATCATGATGTTTAATGTTGAAATTTATATAGGTTTGCCAGCATTTTAAAGGACATTACTCCCAAAGTAGGTTAAGTATATTAAAGTTACTGCACGTTATTTTCAAGCAAAATATTACATCAGTAGCAAATATGTATATATATAAACCGTATTTGCAATTGTTGTAATTTTAGTTATATACACAGCACGGTTTCCCAACAGTAAAACAACTCAAAAGAGAAAAAACAAACGACCTAATTTATACCAAAAAACAATAAACGAAAAACAAATATATGGCGGACAGCAACTAATGACAACCAAAGAATAACAGGCTCCTGGCTTGTAACAGGCACATAAGGAATTAGACGGTGTTAAAGATGTTTATGAGAGCACAGAGGTCTTACAAAAGAGGGGTTGCAAGGAAAATGTTGAGAGGCGCAATGGACTTAAAATTTCGGGCGTTCGTAGTTGGTCCATTGCGAGACAACATATCTTCCCCTTCCCAACATGTCCTCGTTTTCCTGTCGATGCAATAAGCATGCGTATCTCTCAGAATATTTCACTTCAATTTGTTAACTGAATGAATATTATGAAATATTTGCCGCTTAACTAAGCAAACAACAATTAATCAACAAATAAAATATTATTCAGAGTACCGCAAAGTTTGTAAATGTCTTAAGAATTAAAAAATGAAACATTATTGATGAGTGGTCAAATATTCAAATATGTATTCTCTTAAATTGTTTGTCGAAAAATCTTGCTTGCAAAGTATTTGTTCATGAAGAAAGCATTTCTGTATAATGTGATACTCGATATATGAATGGGATTACCCTCCCGGTGTCAATTATTAAACACAGTTTTGTTGCATCACCTATACAATATGAGGACGAAATCCACAATAACAGTAGAAAAATCAATAAAATGAACAATAAATATTAAAACCAATATTCATGAACTCCGTACTCTAGATAAATATGTAGATTTATCAGGTATTAATATAAATTTAGACAAGACAAAGGTTGTTTGGATTGGAAAGAAAAAGTTAAGCCAAGAAACTATGTGTGTTAAGTGGGGATTGGAATGGGGTTCCAGCAGATTTACACTTCTTGGGATAAATTTCTCCGTGGATCTTGATGAAATTGAAAATTTAAACTATGACCCCAGGATAAAAGAAATTGAAAAAAAACTATAAAACTTGGACAAACCAAATACTCTCCCCAATTGGAAAAATATCAGTGATAAAAACACTTACAATATCAAAATAAAACCATTTATTCCTATCCATACCTAGTCCAAAGCTTAAATATTTTACTGACAAAATATTTTCCTTTATCTGGGATAACAAACCAGATAAAGTTAAAAGAGAAACTTTAACCAAACCACACTGTTCAGGAGGTCTAAAAATGATAAATATTGAAAACTACATAAGAGGTTTAAAATTAACCTAGATAAGAAGAATTAATAAAAATAATTCAAAACTTGTGAAACTACTCTTTTCAAAATTTTTTGGAAATGCAATTTCTGGGCCCATATAAAAAGCTGAAAAATCCATTTTGGAAAGAATTATTTGATGCTTGGAATGATCTTCAAAATATTCAAGATACATCTCAAATTAACACATGCAATATATGGAAGAATGATGAAATAAAGATTGGTAATCAATCAGTTTTATATAAAGAATGGACTAAAAAAGGGAATTTGGTTGATTAATGACTTGTTAGATGAATGTGGAAATTTCATGACTTTTGATAACTTTAAAATTAATGTATACAATGTAAAAACTAATTTCCTTACATAGCAAGGCTTAATTTCTGCAATAAAAAAGTATTTAAAAGAATATAATATATGTCCTAATGACTTAGTGAGAGAAAATGGCCCCGTTTTGCCCTCAGTTATTAAAATATTTTTTAAATCCCCGAGAGGTTCAAAAGATATGTATAATATTTTAAATAGTAAAAAGTCAAACCTTAAACAGAAGTGTGAGCAAAAATGGTCTTTAATTATCAATACAAACTACAATTGGAAAAATATCTATATATTGCCCTTTTATATTACCCAGAATTCTAAACTGCAGTGGTTTCAATACAGAATAATACATCGAATTTTAGGCACGAATGATCTTCTCTTTAAAATAAAAGTGAAAGATACAAATAAGTGTAGTTTTGGGTGTGGAGGGATCGAAACAATAGAACATATATTCTAGACTTGTCCGTATATATCAAAATTATGGGAGGACCTTAACTCATAGATATTTGAGAAGATAGAAATAGAACTAACTTTAGATATAGGTTTGGTTTTATTTGGTATTCTAACGAAACCGATAAAAATGATATAAGAAACTTAATAATTCTGTTAACAAAATTCTATATTTATAGAAGCAAATTATCATTGGAACAAACCAATATGATAGCACTGAAAAATTATTTAAAAGAAAACTTATTAATAGAAAAATATATATTTTATAAGAATAAAAGTCTGAGTAGGGCAGAAAACTGCTGGAACCCCTGGACTCCTTTATTGTCATAAAAACAAAAATAAACAACAGACACCATATGTTGTATAAATTAAAAATATGTATTCTTTATCCAAGCAGCCTCTGTCTTTCAACCATATTCCGCAATGTATTGACTATTTTAGCTGTGTCTATTAATTTAAAATATGTTGTATATCTTCTGTCTATATATTATATTGTGCATAAAATGTGTATAACTTACTATTATGTTTATTTGCAAATAAAAAGAAATTCATTATAAAAAATATATATTCATGAACTCAAAATCGTTTTTTTTTTTTTAATCTTTTTTTCCAGTGTTTCGCATTTGCGCAGTATTCCTTTCCGGTAGGGTTTGTCTCGTGATTTCGCGTACAATATAAGGAAGGGTCATCACATGAATTCCCGCTAATTTGTTGTTTCTGATTACCAAATTACTGAATCATATTGACAGTTAAAAAATAAAAATAAATTCCGCATCATTTCAAAATGAATATAGAAACTCCCCTGATCAATCTGGCAGATTTTTGTATCTTGTAAGGAATGTAATACAAGAAATCTAAATCATTTTAGGCCAACTTTGTAACCACGTCGTTTTTATTTTAAGGTAGGTATACATTATTTTATTTTAATGTTAAAAACGTTACCTGAAAATAGCGTTTTTTTGCTTACACAGAAAATGACGTCATAACTAAAATACCTAACACAGGACCAACAATGGAAATGATTCCGTATTTCCGTTACGTTTTCAACAGATTTAAAAATGTACTGGAAATATTTTTTTTTTTTTTTTTTTGCAATTTGGTAAAGGGTTATAGATTTCTCATCCCTTTTAGAAGCCTATAGGGTACCTCAAAATTTACGGATTGTTTTTAAATGTTAGTGATTTTATTTGTATTTTTTTAATGTCATAATTTTTTAAATGGCATTACTAAATTTTACTGTATTTAAAATTTTGCAAAAATCAGTTTCAAATTAATAATTTATACGGACTTCGTCCTTTTTCACAGGTAACACCTGCCCATATTAAAAAAAAATCGATTTAATGGAAAATAAAATACCTGGAAGAAATGGAATAGGAACGTAGCAACTTCTGAAGCAGTGTTGCCGGCTCTCCGAACTTTCCCGAAGTCCTGCGATTGTCGAGTTATTTTTAGCTTCGATCCTCGCTTGGAAGTTGAGGAACGTAGTTGTGTTATATTCTCTAAGTTTGCAGTTTGGTATTAGTACATATTTTATTTTGAGTTATCTCCCTTATGCATAGCATTTTCAACAAAAAATGTGGTAATTTGACATTCTTTATGCTCCTGGTTCGTTACATGTATGAAAACAATGATCGAGTCCATATTCCGAGCTCTAAACTGTTTGGTATGACCGATATTATCATTTCCTTTTAAACGTCGACAAATTTGACAATATCAGTTCCGGTAGAATTAGAGGTGAGCATATTAGTCATATTTCCGGTTATTCTCGTCATGTCAACAAAAGTCTGTTAATATTCCGATGGCTTTTTATCCGTCGTCAGCTGATACAGATGATTCTTTTGATTTTCTTTTTAAAATTGTGTTAATAGGTGATGCAGGAGTTGGAAAAACATGTGTAGTGCAGCGTTTTAAGTCAGGAACATACGTTGAAAAGCATGGGAGTACCATAGGTGTTGATTTCACAATGAAAACACTAAAAGTTGATGGGAAATTAGTGAAGGTTAATAGGTTTAAACACATTACATTCTTGTAACATTTATCTTGTTTAAATTCTTGTTAAAACTACTTTAAGAATATACACAATAAAAATAAGGAGATGTGGTTCAGGTATGATAACCAATATGACCAATTAACAGACCAAATTATGAGGAATTCTAGACAGTTCGACACCCAGACAAATCGGCACCCGGAGGCACCGAGAAAGACACTTTGGCACCCAGACAAATCGGCACATAGACAAATCGGCACCTCATAAAGATAAAATCAATTATTAAATCCTTGATCAAAATATAATGAACCAAAAATCAAAATTACCTGGGACTGATATATATAGGTACATGTATGTGGGCATGACCTCAATTTGCAAGTTTAGTGTTAATATAGCAATAATTTTCGACTGTTTTTACAAATAACCAATTTGATTCCTGCACTATCTATGACATTATTGTATATGGTATCTTCGATTAAGTATCTTATGAAGTGGTTTATTTTTTTTGTGAAGACTGTATCGCAGCTTAGTCATTTGGGTAGCTGTCTTATTTGTGTGTATTCTTTTTCCATATGCATGAAAATTGATTTCATAGATTTCACCATTCATGTACTAGTTTTAATGTAATGCATAGTTCTATTCCGATAGTATTCTAAATCAATCATTTGTCAATAAAACACATGTAGCATATTTATAATATTTATTTTATTTATTATAATTATATTCATAACAGTTTATAGACATGTTAACAGCACTAGATTTGCATCAAAGGTGAACAAGATAGTAATGAAACATTTTAAATACTATAAATATAACATATAACATATATACAGGCAGCACTATAAGTTTTAACCAAGTCATTTTGGTGTTGGTCTGTACACACTGGCACATTCCTTTAGCAGTCTGGAGGTGGAAATGCTGTTGCTACAATACTGGTCCCACAGTCTATACACTTTTGATCTCCATTGAGAAATTATCAAATTTCATTATAAACTTACATAAATTTAATACTGATTAATGCATAACTAGAATTAATTATGATTTAATTAAATGATGTTTATTCAAACACCATCATATTTAACAATCAATTAGGATTTAATTAAAATTTAATGATGTTTATTCAAACACCATCGTTTAGGATTTAATTAAAAAAAGACGATTATTTTGTAATACATATTTTATTTACAGATTTAAATATTTCTGTAACAATTCTTTTATTTTTCTTAATATTTATAGATTATCGTTGGTTATCTCAACAAGATTGATTTTCTCGCTTGAGCCGGTACGGATGCCGAAATGTCTTCGGACCTGGGTGCCGTAATGTCTTGTTACCAATTATGAGTCAACAATTATATGTGTGAACATTTTCGCTTGTTTGGCCATAAATTTGGGGAAAATATTCTGTCATAAAAAGATTGTACAAATCATTTGAACATAGTTGTCAGATGTTAAGGACAGTCTTATGGTTTAATGTGCTTTAACCATTAACAATGATTAAAAGAATTCTTACCATCTCATCAAATGCTCATCAGATAGACCTTTTCTCTACTGGAAACACAACAGTTACAGCTTAAGATCAAGTTAGATTGTTCTGTCATTACAGAGAAAAAATACGTTTGGATAAATACAATGTAGTTGTGTTCTTCAAAACACTGTTTTACTTTCCTTTATTGACACCTCAATGGACACTGCAGTTAAGTCATGCTCTGCTCAGTGTTCCCTGTCATTTCTGTTAATAATGTCTGTAAGGATTTTCAATTTAATATTTTATTTTATAAATTGTTTTGAAATAAATGAACATGATGAATAATTTCCAGCTTCAAATCTGGGATACTGCTGGACAAGAGAGATTTCGAACTATCACACAAAGCTACTACAGAAGTGCCAATGGTGTTATATTAGCTTATGACATTACAAGAAGAGAATCTTATGAAGATCTACCTCGATGGTTAGAAGATGTCAAAAGATATGCTGGTGGTAGTATTGTACAGTGTTTGATAGGTTAGCAGTATTTTATTAGAAGCAAGAATTTTATATGAATGGAAGTAGCTATTTGAGTAAATGCCATGTTAAAACAGTGACCCAACAAATTAGTTGACCAAAACGGCATATTTGGATCAACATATGGTCTTCAAAAATAATATCAATTTTTAAGGTAAATGTTGAAAAGACTTAAAGTGAATATTGTTTTGACAATTATAAGTTTTTAACAAACCAAATTTTTTAAAACACCTTCATGGATTTTCAGGAAACTTTGACAGAAGCTCCCTCATATGCATAACCATAAGCATGATAAGATACTAGAGTACAAATACTGATTCCTTTCCCCCCTATTTTTTTCCATATGGTATTTTATAAACAGACATATCAGACTTAAAGGTTATCTGAGACAAATTTTACATAAACAGCAGCAGTTGCAGTCAAGACACATGGTTCTATTAAACTTTTACAATTTTTTTATTTTTTTTTATTGGTTTCCACATCTTTCAAACTTTTCTTACAAATTTAGATATTTTGAATCAATCAGCATGGCATATTGTCAATGTGTACTATGTAACTTGGTTATTTGAACTACACAATTTAAGTTATAAATTGCCTTGAGTCTACATGTATATAAGATACATGGAAAAGTGCAACAAACAATCATACATGTATTTCTGACACTTAGTCTACATCTTAATCTCAATAGAGAAAGAATCATTGATCAAATTTCCTGACTTAGGACAGGTCATAAGCATATGATGGGGTCATACTAGTTTTGTGGGTAGTCATGTTTGAAATATCAACTGTGTGTAAACAGGTATATTTTACTTAAAATTATACTGTAAATGAAAACTTTTCCTTCTTTACAGGTAACAAAAGAGATTTGGAAAATTTAAGAGAGGTGAATATTTCTGAAGCTAAAAATTTTGCTCAACAACATAACATGATTGATGTTATAGAAACAAGTGCTAAGGAAAATACAAATGTGGAACAAGTTTTTCTAGAAATGGCTACAGTAAGTGTTGACCTTAAAGAAAGTTTAATTGTTTATTCTAGAAATGTAAAAAAAAGAATGTCAACTCAAACAATCTTAGATAGGCTCATAGGAGATACATGTATAGTTGCTTAGGAATTGCCTTTTCATATTAGTTATAAATGCCTTGTTTTAATGATACATCCCTTTTGCTTCTCTTCAGAATTTACAAAGAATCACAGAACAGATAATATAGAAATATGTGAAGTCTATCTCACTGAAACTAATATGTTAATTTCATATTTATCATCTGAATTAATTGAAAATGGAAATAATTCTAGTTATAAATAGACCTTTAAAGTTGTGAAAATTGATTTTTAAGTGATTTAGTACTCTATATAAAAAAAGGAGATGTGGTATGATTACCAATAAGACAACTCTCCACCAGAAACCAAATGATGTAGAAGTTAGCAACTATAGATCACCGTACGACCTTTAACAATGAGCAAAACCCATATCCCATATTAATGTAAAACAATTCAAATGAGAAAACTAACAAACTGATTTATTTACAAAACAAAAACCAAAAATAAATCTGATATACAGCAAACATTGACAACCACTGAATTATAGGCTCCTGACTTGGGACAGGCACATACAAAATGTACAGAATGTGGCATGCTTAAACATGTTTGCTGGCACTAAACCGCCCTTAACCTGGGACAGTGGTGTAATAGTACATCATAAGAACTAAAACAATAAGTTAAAAAGTGTGTAACTCAGCAGAATGATACAAAGCACAAAAACTAACAAAAGACACAAAGAGCAGATCTGAGAATATTGATAGTTACTGAAAGCTAGTTCAAAGCCCATAACAACTAGTTTACATTTATATCGTTCATACCCAAGAAACATGTACACCAAAGTATTAACTCATCATTTTTACAACTTAGATTTTTTTCTTCAGGAATTAAAGAGAAGAATTGGTGGAGATTCAGGTTTGGCCAGTTCAAAGTCTGGTGGAATTAGTCTCAATACCCAAACAGTTGGTGGAGGTGGTTCATCTTGTTGTTAATAGCTTTACAGAATGTTTATTGTTATTTTCTATTATATCATGTTGATTGTGCATATGAAGATTGACTGTATAAACATAATTAGTTTAACATGGAAGAATATCAGATGTGTATGCATGGAGGAACAATAGTTTTTCTTTACAAATCTTTGAAGTCAATTTTTTCCCAGAATGGGACCATGAGTGTAATTGGTGTCAGATGTTATGTTGTTGTGATGTCTTCTTATCATATAGGGTTAATTGTTTGTAGTTGTACTGTTAAAAAAGTTGTTTAACTTTATACTAGAACAGATGATAAAGAAATCGCTAGGTTTTTGTTAAAAAAACATTATTGAAATCTAATCATTTGATTTAATATTACTAGTTTGTATTCTGGTCCTTTTGTTATGGTAAGAATTACCAGAGTACTGTAAAATATTTATTTTTGCAATTTCTAGATCCTGACCTGTTTGCTAGGTTTCATTTTTGTGTGTTTTGTTCCAGTCTCTTATCTTCCATAAAAAGGGTGGGATTGAGGGATTATTTTCGTTTATCTTATCTTATCATTGAAATTAGCGAAAAATAAACAACTAACGAAATTTCGCAGTGACACTTTACAGTAGCTTCAGTCAGTAAAAAATTTGGATGAGTAGATTAGTCAGTAACAGGTTGGCAGATAATTTGATAGTGCAGATGAAATGGAAATCACTAGAACATGTATTAATAACTGGACATGCTACTTTTTTTTTCATGAAAATGATCATGAAAAGTCCAACTACAGTATCAAACGCCCTGTTATATACATTGTAATTTGATCCAGTCAAACCTGCCTTAATGGTCACCTCATATTAGTGGTCACCTGCCTCTCACGGTCATTTTCAGACCCTCCCAAACATTTTCTCTATGTAATTTTACTCTTTTCAGCGGTCACCTAATTTTCACACAAAATCGTCATTTCAACTTTTAACAATGGTCATTTTCAGTTTTTTAACAATCAAAATGTAATCATGACAAAAAAATATGTGTTCAGTATCGAGGCCAAAATGAAAATCGGAACCTGTTTGCAACGGAGGTCTCGAGAATAGGAGGTGAATTTGAGAATTTCTTGTGTTCTACTCCTTTCATGTTCAATTAAAAACCATGTCATGGACTTATTTCTCCATGAATATTAACTATTTCAAATGTTTATTCACATTTAGAGTGCTGGAATTCTCCATTGTTTATTTGTCTGCTCACACGAAAGATAACTCTATCGATGGAAAACACTAAAATAATTTCCCTGGTAAGGGGAACGTCCAAAGTCAGAATGAGAATTTTCTTTTGGAACCTCATTTAAAAGGTCACATCTCTTGAGCGGTCACTTTTGATACTTTCCATGAGTGACTACTTAATACAGGTTTGACTGTACTTTCAATAGTATTTTCAAACTTGGTTTAAGTAGAAAAAAGGCTTCTTAACTACATAGGCAAGCTATTATGATTAAGAATTCCCAAAATTCCAGATTTAGTCAAGAATCTATGGATGTTGTGTTAAACTCTTTTAGGGCAACAAGATCTGTGGATGAGTAATATTTTTTGTGAGAATGACATTACAGTCTATTTAATAAATAATAGAGTTTTTAAAATTCTGTTATTTTTCTGAGCTGCAGAGAGAACCTAAGGCATACCTTAAACTCCAAAACTACAATTTATATGATTTTAGGATTTATATTTGGAAATATTTGCCAAAATTGATTATAGCAGAAAAAACAATGTATCAAAAGATAACTTAGAAATTATTTCACCAAGAACAATTTGGTTTTTTCGATTATAGTATATTTAAACAGTCAAAAAAAATTGTTGTCAGTGTTGGGATAACCATGTTTACAGAATAGTTTTGTATTGAGATGTACAAAATGAAGTTAGCTTTTGATAAATGTTTGTTGTTTATCATGATTAGATTTTTTATTCAAAGTAATTAATTTAATATAAGTACCAACGTTAACTGAATATAGTCTTTTTACATTGTATAGTATTTTAAAAGACATATACTATCTGTTGTTTTTGGCTGTCAAACAAAAGTGCAATATTGTTCCATAATATATATGAATAAAATATATTTATGTATTGATATTAAGCATTTTCAAAATATATTTTTACTGAATGTGCTAGATGGTTGTGTATTTATAACTAAAGGAAATTATGCTAGAGTTAAACTGTTACATATGTGTTTAAATGTAAGGTTGTTTTGGTTAGTCTGATTTTTAGATTGAAAGTTATTTTTGCTGAACTTTACTAAATTGTATGTGAAAACAGTTGAACTGTTATTTTTGTGTTCTCTTAAAAAGCTATATTATCTAGCCTACCAGAACATGGTAAGGGACTGTTAGATTTTATATTTATATCAGGATAAATGAAATAAATATGTTATCAACTATAATCATTATTTTTTTCTTTATCATTATTGATGCTTGTGTACAAGTGTGAGAATAAAAATGTATTACTGTATTAATTTTTAAATTTCATTTCTGTGATATTGTTAGGAAGTGAAAGGTCAGATGATTGTCACAATATTTTATCTATAAGAAAGTATGAATTAAAATGTCATAGAAACAACATATTTAATACCAGTGGTAAATACATAATGGGGAGATTAAATGTATGAAAATAATATATAAAGAATTGACAAAGGAAAAATTAGATAATTCTTTGTAATTTTTTCTTAAGAAAAGCCTCATGATTGATGTACTGAATTTAGTATGTTACTACCATGAAACTGCCTCCTGAACAAATGCACTGCCAATGGACCCTATCTCTGATATCTTGAAAGGTAAATTAAAAAAATAGCCTAGCCAAACATATCAGATAAATTATACGTATAATCCATTTAAGTATAAAAGAGACCTTTTAAAGATTACATAAATAATACTACACCTAAAGTTATTATTATCATGCCTGTGTTGGGCATGACTGAAGGAGCCTGTGTTGGGCATGACTGAAAGAGCCTGTGTTGGGCATGACTGAAGGAAAGTTCATATGTAGGTTATAAATTTCTGCTATCCCTAAATATGACATGAAAACATGTATAACAATATAAAAAAAACCCAACAAAACCAAACTTTATGGATTTGTATGATGATTTATGTCAAATGATGGAAAGCCAAACATTTTCCAAATAAAGAGTCTGTCAATTGCTGCTGTGACCTTGATCTTTGACCTACTAACCTCAAAATGAGAAAGGGTCTTCATTATCACATGGGAGGGACATTGTCAAACTCCATTAAAAAGTTTTTATTTTAGAAATAAGGGGACATAGACAATCTGTATTTTATATCTAAATGCTTTGTGCTACATGTATTACATTTCCTTTTTGTCAAATGCATTAATTTATTTAAATTTATATGTAAACATTAGTTAATCAGTTACCATAAATTATATGAAAATTCTCCATCAGTTTATCAGGTACCATTTATTATAAGTGAATTCTTCAATACATATCTTAATTGTAAGATGTGACCCATGTCTTACAGGTGTCATGTGAGTTTGACTTTATTTTAAAAATACTTATTTCATGTGAGTTTTGTTACATATTTTAGGAAAGGCAGTAGAGTAGTCACATCAGTATGAATGCCACCAGTCTATATTCATTTTCAATATTGACCTGCCAGGAGGTATCTGTTTTCCAATATTGACCTTTTGTTAGTATTTCCCTCCAGATTGTAAACATTTATAAAAAATTGTATTTATTTAATGAAGATGAAAAAGCATGAAACATTAAATATAATTACTACTTTCCTAAATTAATGCTTTTTATTTTTAACCAATGACTTGTATGTTTTCATTACACAGTTTGAATAATTTTAGGTGTCACTCTTCCGTTTTATAAATTTAAGAAATGTTTCTCCCATTGTAGTTTGTTTCATTCCACAAACAATATGCCTTTATAAAAATAGCTCAATAGATAATAAATCATGACAAAATGTATGGAAATATATGTAAAATGTCTTCCATTTCAACATAGTATTTCTTGATATTTTTACAGAAGTAAAAAAGCTATATTGTTACACAAAAGAATGTTGTATATATTGATATGTATTGTTTTTAGAATTAACTTTGTATTTATACATGTGACAGGTTTTTATGTGCAACATTTTTTATCAACTTCAAAATTTTGAAAATGTCTCCACTATGGATTTAGTTAACTTGTTTTGTGTATTTCTTTTAGTCTTTTGAAGTGTACATTCAAATTTTTGGTATAATTTTTATACTAGAATTATTTAATACTTATGACAAGTGAAACCAAATAATATTTTGAAAAAGATAGAAGTTGTGTCACAGGAAGTGTAATATATTCTTTGGGTAATTATGCATTATTATATCTTATTCCAGTTTTATTAGTTCTCTCCGAAAAAGCCATATGACGTTTTCATCACTTTAAGCTTTCTTCTGATTGCAAACTTCTAAGAAATAAGAAAGCTTATATGACAGAAAATTCATTGGATAGAAAAGTTCTTCTGTTACTAATTTGAAATTTAACCACCAAAGCCAGTAATTTATTTAAAATTGTTTATTTATATTGTTTCTGTGCAAAAAGATCTGTTACTGCAACTTCACAACTCTATGTTTATATGTACAAGTCTTATATAAAAAGATTTAGGATTTTGGTGTTGTCAAATAAGAAATCCAAGATGTCTATAACATTAAATTCATTTAAGCTGTTTTTTTAAACCATTTCATAGATTTGAAAATCTATTATGCTTTCTTAAGCAGATGTGAAATTGGTGTGATTATTTGTCACTGGACATTGATCTATTAACAATTAATCAATGAAATGATAGAACCTTGAAATACAAAATGTATATTATACTTTTTGCTGATCATCAATTGAAGTTCATTGGTGATTCATAAGGTTAACATAAGATCCAGAGGCATCCAGAATTGGCTTTTCTTTTTTATACGACCGCAAAAATTAAAAATTTTTTGGTCGTATATTGGTATGATGTTGGCGTCGTCGTCCGATGACACATTGGTTTTCGCACTCTAACTTTAGTTTAAGTGAATGGATCTCCATGAAATTTTACCATAAGGTTCAATACCACGAAAGGAAGGTTGGGATTGATTTTGGGGGTTATGGTACCAACAGTTAAGGAATTAGGGGCCAAAAAGGGGCCAAAATAAGCATTTTTGTAACTTTCAGACAATTACTTGTGTGTAAGTGTATGGATCTCTCTGACATTGTACCACAAGGTTCCATATCACAAAGAGAAGGCTGTAATTGATTTTGGGGGTAATTGCCTCAAAATTTTAGGAATTAGGGGCCAAAAAAGGGGCAAAAAACAAGCATTTTTCTAGTTTCATGACAATAACTTGTGTGTAAGTGTTTGGATATTTCTGAAATTGTACTACAAGGTTTCATATCACAAAGGGAAAGCTGGAATTGAGTTTGGGGGTAATTGCCTGAAACGTTTAGGAATTGGGGGCCAAAAAGGGGCCAAAAATAAGCATTTTTCTAGTTTCAAGACAATAACTTGTGTTCAAGTGTATGGATCTCTCTGAAATTGTACTGCAAGGTACCATACCACAAAGGGAAGGCTGGGATTGAGTTTGGGGGTGATGAATCATAAGGGGGTTCAAAAAATTTGGGGGGGGGGGGGGGTTTCTTTTTTTCCTTTTTTTTTTCTTTTAAAATTTTCCATTTTAAGTTGGTTATTTCTGATTTATATTTAAAAGCAAATAATAATGATATGGTAGGAGATACACACCAAACAGGATGTGTAAATTTTTATATAATAAGTATTGTGCAATAGCAAGAAATTTTCAATTGCAAATAGCAAGAAATCTTCAATTGCACAGTATTGCGCAATAGCAAGAAATCTTCAATTGCACAGTATTGCGCAATAGCATGAAATATCCAATAGCACAATATTGCGCAATAGCAAGAAATTGTCAATTGTACAGTATTGCGCAATAGCAAGAAATATTCAATTGCACAGTATTGTGCAAAAGAAGATACTTCTTATAAATTGCTTATTTCTTGATCAATTTCAATGGGGTTTTATTCTTGAATTCTTGGGGTTCTTTAATATGCTGAATATAACCGTGTATTAAGTTTATGGATTTTGGGCCCCGTTTTTAAATTGGTCCACATTGAGGTCCAAAGGGTCCAAAATTTAACTTTGTTTGATTTCATCAAAAATTGAATTATTGGGGTTCTGTGATATGCCGAATCTAACCGTGTATTTAGATTCTTAATTTTTGGTTCCGTTTTCAAATTGGTCTACATTAAGGTCCAAAGGGTCCAAAATTAAGTTTAGTTTGATTTTAACAAAAATTGAATTTTTAGTGTTCTTTGATATGCTTAATCTAAACATGTATTTAGATTTTTGATTATGGGCCCAGTTTTCAAGTTGGTCCAAATCGGGGTCCGAAATTAAACTTTGTTTGATTTCAACAAAAATTGAATATATGGGGTTCTTTGATATGCTGAATCTAACCATGTATTTAGATTTTTGGGCCCTGTTATCAACTTTGTCCACATTGAGGTCAAAAGGGTCCAAAATTAAACTTTGTTTGATTTCATCAAAAATTGAATTCTTGGGGTTCTTTGATATGCTGAATCTAACCATGTATTTAGATTTTGGATATTGGACCATAATAGGTGAATGTCCAATTTAAAATTTTTAAGTTCTTAGACCACATTCATTCTGTGTCAGAAACCTATGCTGTGTCAAATATTTAATCACAATCCAAATTCAGAGCTGTATCAAGCTTGAATGTTGTGTCCATACTTGCCCCAACTGTTCAGGGTTCGACCTCTGCGGTCGTATCAAGCTGTGCCCTGCGGAGCATTTTATTAAACTTTTTTTCACAGATCACCCTTATTATGATCAGAGCATTTTTAATAGTCTTGATGATTTATGTTAACCAAAAGTTCAAGATAGTTACAGTATTTTTTGGGTCTCTTCTGCATATATTTCTGGTAAACTATTGTCATTTATTGTTCCTTTTGTGGTAGTAAGACAAATTTTGTTCTGGTATGCAAAACATGAGATTTTTTAGTTTATATTTATGGAAATATAATATTCATGTATGTTTTGTAAAGTAAGTGAGAAAATATATTTTTTTCCATTATAAATATCAATTACAAATAAGTTTTAGATTTCCTAACATCTTTTGTTAGTACAATTTACATGTTTATAAGTGCAATTTAGATTCAATGAAATGTAAATTCAGGTTTACACATGTTAAAAGTACACTGAATACAGTAAAGGTGTATTTAAGTTCATGCTTAGAACTTAGTAATTTTTGTTGCTAAACGATAATTATTTTATTTTTGTTGTTTTTTTTTGTTGTACTTGAAATATAAATGATTATAAACGGTATTTGATTATACCCAACAATAAAAATAGATATAAATTTTACTGTACTTCTGAATTTTTTTAGAAACTTTTTTCTCTTTGTCTGTTGAGTATCATTTGTTGAATGAATAAGTATACACATGACATACA